TCAGATGTGAATCAGATGTGTATCAGATGTGAATCAGATGTGAATCAGATGTGAGTCAGATGTGAGTCAGATGTGTATCAGATGTGAGTCAGATGTGTGTCAGATGTGTGTCAGATGTGATGTGTGTCAGATGTGTGTCAGATGTGATGTGTGTCAGATGTGTGTTGAGTCAGATGTGTGTCAGATGTGTGTCAGATGTGATGTGTGTCAGATGTGTGTCAGATGTGAATCAGATGTGAATCAGATGTGAGTCAGATGTGTATCAGATGTGTATCAGATGTGAGTCAGATGTGTGTCAGATGTGTATCAGATGTGAATCAGATGTGAATCAGATGTGAGTCAGATGTGTGATGTGAATCAGATGTGTATCAGATGTGAATCAGATGTGAATCAGATGTGTATCAGAGTGTTCTGGGTTTTACCTCAGGTTCTCTGAGCTGAACTCGGACTCCAGGAACCTGAGGAACTGCTCTCTCCCGACCGGATCCTTCAGAACCTCGTCGAAGCAGAATCCCCAGCGCTTCACCCGCTGCTGCCCTGCTTCTTTACTGAGAGACGATCAGAACAAATCTGACCATCATTCATCACACTTTTCTTGGTGATTTTTCACATCATTTTTTGCTCTAAATTCATCTCGAGGCTGACAGCTTCGCTTCATGACACTGAACTGGTTTTTAAAGAGCAATAATCATTTCAAAAACCCCTTCAAAGAAAAAGCATGAGGAAAGCCGAAAAAAGGACACACACCTGGCCTCCAGCTCCCAGGAAGTGACATCATCAGAGATCCAGGGGTTCGACGGCTCCGGCGTCGTGAAGAACGGATCGTACTCGATATACTGCTCCGAGAAACTCAACAAGCTACAACAACAAATAAACAGCATTTCACTTCAAAGTTGTTTCATTCATCAAGGACGCAAAAAAAATATACAAGACAAACTAAAATATTTTGTTAATAAATATATATATATTTTTATTTTATTTTATTTTTTTCAAATAAAATAATGGCATTTTTTAAGAATTAAAAATAATCTGATTTTGGAGTTTGACAATTAACACATTGCAACCATGCTTGGGACGGCCCACATAAACGAAAATGCTTGACATGTCTTGAAATAATTATTTCTTAACATTAAACATTGACTGTCAGTCTTTATTCACCTGTTTCTCATTAAAATTCATTAAAGTAAATAGTGTAAATTATATCGCTAATGTCATAGAATAGCACATTGTAACAGTGTTACAACATTCCTCATCTGCGCAACTGGAGTTTAAAACTGGTCTTCTGCTAGTTATCAAAGCATTAAAAAACGATCTGAACTGATAAATAACAGATTGTAGATTAAAATAATAGCAGATGTCTCTTTTTAAATGAATAATAAAAACTGAGATGAAAAATGTACTTAAGCCAGAATTTAAATTTTACTATGGTAAAATAAATGTTCAGTGATATCTTCAAAAGATTTTTGAATTTTGGCGCACATTTTTTTCTATATAATGTTGATATGGTAACTAGTAAATACTGTAAATTTTGTTATGCTAGCATGTGTGGAAATATTCAAACCATGTGCCCCGCGCTCCCCTACTGTTAGATCAAGTGAACTCACCTCTCTGCGACTTTGGACATTTTTAACCGGTGTCTGTCTAGCTGTGTTTGCCAGTGCTGGATCTGAAGAGAAGAGAGGAGCACAGGCTCATGTGAATCACAGGGAAGAGTCTCTAAATGACGGATCAGCAGTGAAACCAGCGTCTGAGATGATCTGAATCACTGCAGGGTCACTCAAGATCCGTGTGGAATTGAGTTCTGATTTTATAAGAATGTCATGTCAGAAGCACTTATAAAAATTAATTTAAAAAGCATTAAAATTATTCGATCTCATTGCTTGTAATATATATATA